CATAATTTTATGAGTCTCAATCAATAAATAATGAAATGTAAGAATTATATTGATGCAATGTGAAACTCACTAAAGGTTGGGATGAAAGTGTATACTACTAGTCTTATGCCAAAAATCTTTTCTTTTTTTCTAAACATAAAATACTCTTAACATTTAAGAGGTAGGCCTATGAGACTCGTCACTAATCCTTAGAGTTTTTAAACCTTTCCATTTTATTTCAACAAGGATGAAATTTAATTTGTCTGTATTCATCTAAGAGCTAAATATCATAATAAGGGATGAATAAACATATAATTAGGGATTAGAAAGCCTAAACTCTATAACAAAAAAAAAGAAAAATAAATTGATATTTAATTAGATATAGTAAATCTCATAGGCCTAAAAATAAAAATAAAATTTAAAATAAGAATAGAGAAAAATAATATATTCATAAAAAGTACTAATGAAAAATAAAATTAAAAAGAAAACCTGGAGAAGAAGCTTGAGGTTAAGCACTGTCATATCCAAATATGGTTTTCTAGCCTTTTCCAAATATCAAATGGTTTTCTTATACTTTTATTAATATCTTAGGAGCTTTATAAATTCATGAAGAATTAAGGGAAATCCTTTTGTTGCAATAGGAAGTGTTTAATTATTCTTAGAGAAGTAAGGGGAATTGGATTATCATCAATCTAAATGATAAATAGTTCATATGTTTAGCAAGAGGCAAGACATGTAGAGTATAAGATTTTATTATTCAAAGAAATCCATACTTAGAAGTGAAAATCATAAAACCTTAATAAATTTTTACTTCTACACTATTAATAGACTATGATTTCTATAAGATAAAAGCAACCCATTTTCTTGAAACCTGAGCTAAGTCAATAGGATTACTTGAGGGTAAGTAATGGATAACTTTGGGAGGATTGATATGTGTCAACTTTTCTTATTTTTTATGTTCTAATTCATGTAAATTTTTTTTCTGTATTTTATGATTATACGCTTTTGAAAGGTTGGTTTTGTATTTTGCAAGTTCTAGGAGGATTAGCATCTAAATCAAAGAAAAATAGTAATTTGAATTTTTTTTATCCTGGTGTAACCACGCCTGCTTTTAGTGTGGCCATGCCAGATAACTAGCATGACCACACGAGTGCAATACATTAACAAATCACCCCTGGGCATGGCCACACTGCCCTTCAGGCGTGGTCACACTATTGTATCTCACCGCTAAAAGAATGAAAATTTTTATATTAGTGTGGTTGGTTTGGATAGAATTTCAATAAGTCTTATTAAAGGACATTAGGGCTTTAATTGGAATAGAGTTTGGAGAGTTTTCAAAAGCTACAAGGGACTTGTGAGGTTTTGAGAGAGCTCTGTTCTTCTTCTTCTCGAGAGAGACAAAATATAAACATTTTCTTCTACTTTTTCTTTACTTTCTTAGATGTTCTGAGTGATTGTGTAAAAGAGTGTTTGCTACTTTTCATGAGGGAAGATTCACGAACCATGGAGTAATTGTTTTTTTTTTTTTTATAAAGATGTTCCTTTCATGCTTGTTTTCTAAGAATTTTCATATGGTTTCTCTCCTAATATCAGTAGCTAAATTTCTTTTTCTTGCCTCTATGATTCATGGATAGTTTTTCAAATATGTTTTCTCTACATGTTTCTCATAATAAAATTTCAATGTTCCAGGTTAACCCTTTGTCCTTCATTTAATCTTAACATGCTAGTTAAATATTAAAACCTATGGTGATCTACAACTTCTATCCATTATGTAGTATAAAGATTGGATTAAACATGAAATCTTATTAGAATAGACATGTTTTAATTTGGCTTTTGCAATCAAGGAAAGTGAACTCAGAGAAAAACTAGAAATGGCATAAGATTATGTAAAAGTTAACGTTATAAGGTTCCGAATATTCTTCTGACCAAGGCATAGCCTTAAGAAAAAATACCGTCCCTAATTGACAGCAATCACATATGAGAAACTGTTAGAAAAATATATTCAACCACTACACCTGAATCACCCAGGCATGATTCACAACGCTCTTGAAAAAACCTAAAATTTTAACTCTTGCTTCCCGTGGATTTTGTTTTCGGTCAGCTTTGCTAGATAAGGGAATTTTCCCTTTTCTTTTTTGGATCACGCTGAATTAGTTGAGATGGCTATTTAAATGTAGATTCTCCAATTTTAAACTATTTGTAATTCATTTTCCTATGGGAACGATACACGATACTCTTGCGAACCACTTTCTCCTTGGTGTGTATACTTGCGTGAAGTGGTCGCTTGCTTCATGGCGATTTTGCGGCCATCACTGCGCAAGTTTACTATGAAAGGTATACATTTATTGAGATGGAGAAGCACAAAGATAATAAAGAGGATCTACATATGAATTGTATTGATTTAGAAAAAGCTTACGACAAGGTCCAAAGAGTAGTCATTTAGAGAGTTCTAGAGAAGAAAAGTGTTGATATGACTTATATTCAAGTCATTAAGGAAATGTATACTAGATTTATTAATTGTGTTCGAATAAGAGGATGATTGACCAAGTATTTTCCTATTTCAGTTATATTACATTAGGGATCGACTTTAAGCCCATATCTTTTTGCTTAAGTTATGGATGTTCTTACTAGACATTTACATGAGGACATACCTTGATGTATGTTTTTTTGTTGAGGATATTCTTGTAGATAAAACAAGAGAATGAGTTCAAGAAAAAACTTGAATTATGAAGGTCTAAATTGGATTCTAAGGGCCTTCATGTGAGTAGTTCTAAAACATAATACATGGAATGTAATTTTAGTTGTAGGAGCTTTAGTGGTAGAGTTGAACCTATGAGTGATCAAATCATTAAAATGTGGATTGTTTTAGATATCTCAGGTCTATCTTTTAAAGTATTGGTAATATAGATAGGGATGCTATTAGTAGAATTCAAGTTGGTCGGTTGAAGTGGAGGAATGCATCAGGCCTATTGTGGGAAGAAAAAAGTATCGCATAAACTAAAAGGAAAATTAGATGGTGGTGAGACCTGCAATGCTTTATGATGCAAAATGTTGGCCTTTAAAAGAAGCATAAAATAAAGTTAAGTGTTGCTGAGGCGAGAATGCTTAGGTGGATGAGTGTCTTAACACTTTGAGACAATTTAAAATGAAAATATGACACTCAATAAGATGCAATGGAGAAAAATGATTCATGTAGCCGACCCCACTAAGTGGGATAAAGGCTTGTTGTTGTAATAGTAGAAGTTGTAGAAAATCTTGTTAACTTTCCATTGACACAAAAAAAAATGAGATTCTTATAAGAAACTAGTAAGTTATGCTAATAATAACGATGACAGGTTGCAATTCTTCATATTTTACTTATGATTTTAAAATTTATTATAAAATCTACTACTTATTAGTTGAAATAGAAAGAAATGGTTAACGTTGATATTGTATAAAAATCTGTTAGCTATCAAACGACACAAAAATCATGAGATTTTGACAGAAAACTTGTAAGTTATGTTAAAAATAGACACAGTATGCTAATGTTCTTCATTTTTCAACTATGATTTTCAACTTTATTTATGAAATCTACTCCTTGTTAGTGGAAATAGGAAGGAATTTACTTTATGCACACAATGTCCATACAAGTTTAATGAAATTGTAGGTCTTTTTAATTCTTTTATATAAAAATGATGTAGAAAGTATTACTTGCTGCAATCTTAAAATAGAATATAATATAAATAAAATTTTTCAAAATTTAAATTTTTTTGGAAAATGAATTTAATTTTAAAATTTTATATTATTAAAGAAAGAATATTTACATATTAAGTATATATGCTTATAAAAATAATATTATATATAACTAATTAACATGAAAAAAAACTCTGCGTTCTATTTACACAAAACCAAACCGTTCATAATTATTTAGAATACACTATTTTACAATATTTTGCATCCATCAAACCAAACAAAAAAAATGAATTCTTATGTATTTACTTTATAAACAACCAAACAATTTACATTGAACTTCTTTTTTAGCAAACAAAACAACACTTTAAATTTATGATTTCAAAATTTGCTAAAAAGATATATTAAGAGGTATTATAAACCCTTTGCACCTAAATGCTTTGCATTTAATTTGTTTTAAAATATTGTGCACTACAAAAATCAAAATTCATATAATTTTTACTTTAAACTTGTAATACTTTCGAGCATTGTCCCAAAAAGGAAAAAACTTCCAATAAAAAATCTCATTAATGTTGCAATATGAAATCATTAGTGATAAAATTATAAGATTTTATGGATATGCATACTAAAATTAACCATATTTTAATGCATAAATATTTTTGAAAAATTGAGATTTTTTAACATTTTTTTTTTAGATTTGTATTCTTAGGCAAAAATTTCTTCGACATGCCGCAGTTCTGAATTCGGCTCCTAGCAAAAAAACCTACTCCGCAGCCAACTAAGGTTCACCTTTTTCACTTTCCTTTGGCATAGACACTTTTTTGGTTTGAACAAATTCTAATTTGAAAATTCAGACGTTCATTTACCAGTCGCTATTTTAGAGCTCGTTTGAGCAGGCTTTTACAGAGCGATATGTTTTTTACATCATTTTTTTACTTTTTTTTATATCTCTGAGCTTATAATTTCTTGCAACAAATATTTTTCATATTAAATTTTTTGTCATTTTAAGTTGGTGTCTATGATTTTGTAAAGGAAAAGATAATTTTACCCCCTTTTTGTATATTTTAAATCATGATAAATAATAGTGCTAAAAGATATTCATAAAATTTTATATTATTGTACTTAGTAAAATACATTTAAACAGAATTATTTCTACTTTAACTTTTAAAAGGACTTATAAAAAGTAAAGTGCTCCCAAATGAGGAAAGAGGCCTTTTGCATGGGAAAAAAATTTGTGTACATAATACATACGCAAACATGTTATATGGGCGTTATATCCACGTTATATTCAGATTATAACATTCATAACTTCCATTTAATGTTTATATAATGTTAACCTACCTAAACTTCCAAATAATTTACTACACAAATTTTTTCCTTCGCATGGCGACTGCGGAGGTGTGGAAGAAGCCCTCGCCGGGTCGAGGCGGCGTCGCGCTGCCGGCCGGTATGACAGAGGAGGAGGCCCGCGTCCGAGCCATTGCGGAAATAGTCTCCTCCATGGCAGAGCGCTCACGCCGAGGTGAAACCGTAGACCTAAATGAGCTCAAGTCCGCACCGCTTCGGGCATAGCCGTCGTGGCTGTAATGTCGAAGCCTCATCGATGCCCTCACATCGCCACAACGGGCAATATCTGCGTGTATTGCCCCGGTGGCCCGGACTCCGATTTTGAGTACAGCACTCAGTCCTATACCGGTTACGAGCCCACCAGCATGAGAGCCATCCGTGCTAGGTATTCTCTTGTCAAAGCTCATTTTATGATATATCTTAGCGGGGTGTCGGGCTGCAAGCAGGATTTAGCGTTAGTAGGATTTGGTAAATCCCAAATTCTTGAATCCGTTAGATCCACCATGTTGCTGGATTTAGTAAATCCGGATTTAAGCTGAATTGAAGGCAAAATTTGGGACCTTAAATCCAAAAATTCATAAAATTATGGAACTGGTATATTTTTGTGTTTGGCGTGATTTCATAAGTCTCGTGATAAATTCTATAAATATGTATTATCATACACTCTCTTAATATGATTTTGTTATTATTATTATTATTATTATTTTTTTTCTGTGGAATTAATCTTAGTTTTTGAATTGCAGTCCTATCAAATACCAAGTTTTAAATATTCTGAAGTATTTGTTTTATCATCATAATCATGATTAGCCTTATTCATCTAAGGGTTTTTGTTGCAAGTAGGATTTAGTAAATTAAATCTTGAAAATTGTTTGGTATACCAGCGATTAATCCTATTAAATCTTTGTTACTATTTGGCAATGAATACTAGGATCCAAATCTTGATTTTATTTCCCTTATTTATTGTATTGTAATTATGAATTGGTAACATACTAAGCTAATTACTTGTTAGTTATAGTTTCACTACAGTAATTATTAATTAATTTATTCATTACTCAAAACCCTTCATTTAATAAAATATTGGCAGGAAATGAAACCTAAATACGTCATAATGGACCGTTCACCTTATAATTACTCTTTTTATGAGTAATATATTGAATGTATTGTTAATCATGAGATGTTCTACTAGCAAAATTGATTTTTCATGGTAAACTATTAAATTTGTGGAAGATAAGTGATACCATTCTAGGGCTCCTAGAAGGTGTTGGCAAGTGGACTTAGTGGGGAGGTGGTTGCAAAATAGCAAGGGTATGATAATATGGGCGGTCAATGACATTTGGAGTGAGATTAACAACATTCGACAACTGTCTCGACTGAAAACAACGAGCCAAACGGCGAGACCCGAGCGACTTGGAGGATCAACCACCTGTTTCTAAGCAAGAGACAAATGTCACAAATCACTTTCAAAAAGAATGATACAATAATCCAAAAAGCATAAATAGAGATCAATGCCTTTAAACACAATAAAAATAACTTTGTTAAAAAAGGAAATAGCACTTTATTAATAGTTCTATCATAGAATAAATTTAAATAGAAATAGAGAAATATGAAAGAAATTCAAAATGAAAAAATTGCAAATATCGAAATTTGGTGGTCTGGTTCCACTTTCTGTGATCATGATGCTTCCTTATTTTGCGGTATCACGATTTCGGGTCGTGGGATTCTGCGATTCCATAAGATTATGTGATCCTGGATTGCGAAATTCTCGGATTGGGAGCTCTTGTGTCATTCTTCTTTGCTAAGAGAGACTTTTTCTTCTTCATTGGAAGGACTTAGATCCCCCTGTCAGATGCTCTTTCTCACAAAACACCTAAGAATATTTTCACAACAAATTTTCACCACTTTTCTCTAGCCCTCTGTCCGTGGGTGCACTGTTGAACTAGACTGGAACTTAGTACTCAATTTATTCAATAATTTTTTTCGAAATTCACTAAAAAATTTCACATTTCTATATGAAGTGATAACATGTTGTACCTACTTAAGTAGCAGTAGTTTGTAGGTCAAACAACCCTGAAATCCAATTAAGTTGGGGCTAACATGTGTTTGGTATCAACTAATTGGACTCACTGTCATCTAAGACAACCAATGCTAGTCCTGGTGATGCTTCTCTTAAAGGCCCAGTCTAAGGAACCCATCTAATTACTATCACCTCTCCCTCATCACCTGAAAGCTAGTATTCCTTTGCATCCTAACCTTCTTAAATGTCTATTGCCTCTGTCTATGCTTTTTATTGCTCTATGCTTTTAATGAGATCATTCTTTTGTTTGGGCAATCAAATGTAATGTGTCCAATGTCATGACACTTAAAGTATTTTCTAATTGGGATGAATTTGGGAGTACTGGTAGGCTCCATCTTTTCTCCACTTTGGATTATTTTCTCCTATGAGAGTTAACTTGAGTGCTTCATTGAGTATACTATTGCCGATCTAATGACTGAATCTTATTTTAAGGGTGGTATGGACTTGATATTGTTGTGTTGTTTCTCCAACTTCAAGGTTAAGATTTGAACAGCCTGTAACATTTAATAGGGCTGTAGTTGCACTATGTTGCTAATGGATGGCCTCAACCCTACTGAATATTGCTAATGGATGGTCTCAGTTTTGCCATATATCTAGCTATAATGTTTTCCTCGGACTCCACTAGTTCACTCATCAACATAAACTGCTTGAATTCAACTTTGTACTCTTATACTGATTGATCTTTCTGTTGTAAGTGATGAAGTCTCAGGAACACATCCTGCCTATAATTCTTTGGTAGGTACTTGCGCTGCATTTCCTTTTTTATTTTAGATCAAGTAATGATTTTACTTTTTCTCTCACATTGACATAGGTGCTTCAAATATTTCCATCACATAAATCCATTCTTATTTAACTTAATAGCATCTAGCTTTAACATTCTATCAAATAGGATATCCTTGTTTTCAAAAATATGTCCTACTATCTAAAGTTACTTAATAAACTCATTCGGATCCACACGACTGCCAAAATTTGATAAATTGATCTTTTTTCAAAATCCCAACTTCTTCGCTAATATTTCATCCTAATTTGTCGTGGTATTGATTTTTCATTATCGGAAACTTTTTGACGGAGTGAATTTTCTTCCTCCCCTCGATATGACGAGTCACCGTCATGTGTATGAGTGACCTTACTGGATTGTCTCCTCTCAAAGGCAGTAAATTTTTATTTTAGTTGAAGGATTTCTCACTGCATATACTCCATAGTAATCTCTTCGACGTCTTGCAGATTTCTCCTCTGTGGTAGTATTTTTTTCTCTCGATCAAGGTTTTGACACTGTCGTTGCCGGTCCCAAGCCTGAATGCAAAAAGTGGAGGGTTGCGTTAGGTAGTCGACAGTTAGCGTAAAACTTGTTGAAAAAAAATTATTACATGAATCCTTTTGATCATTGTGTAAGTGTTAGGGCGTCCCCTGGAAACGACGTGCTGTATAGCCTGAATACAGTGAAAAGTGTGCAAGGGCCGCTACACCGACGCCCGGGTGTAGTGTTAAATAAGCAAGAGTTCCTACATTACTGACGAATACAGGTAAAGAAGTTAGTCCATGAAACTAATGAAATTAATATTAGGATAGGAAATTGGAATATAGGTACTCTCAATGGTAAATTAATGGAATTAGTTGATGTTATAATTCATAGGAAAATTAATATCTTATGTATTCAAGAAACTAAGTGGGTTGGAGAAAAGACTAAGGAGATTGATAATTTAGGTTTTAAACTTTGATGTTCTGGTAAGAGCCGCACTAGAAATGATGTAGGTATAATTATAGATAAGAGTTTGAAAGATAATATTGTAAAAATTAATAGAGTTGATGATATAATTGTAGCCTTTAAAATTATCATTGATACTAAGATCTTTAATGTTATAAGTGCTTATGCTCCTCAAGTAGGTTTAGATACAGGGTCTAAAGATTAATTTTGGAATGATTTAGAAGACTTAATACAAATGATACCTCTTGAAGAAAGAATTTTTATTGGAGGAAATTTAAATGGACATGTCGGTAGAGTGTTAGAAGATTTCAGAAATATTCATGGTGGCTAC